GCCTTTGTTCCCCACCAAACTGAGCTCTGTCGTCCGGGGGCTCAGCAGCTCTCCCTCCCTTTGTCCTCCAGCCTTCCTGCTTTCCGAGCAGAGCTGTTAACTTATGACCTCCCAGATGCTAAGTCGTGCTTGCTGTCGGAACACAGTCCGTCAGGCCCCTTCACTTTTGCAAGCCAGACTCGGGGGCTCTGCTTGGCGGGCCAGCCGCCCCTCCGCCCCGGCTCCCTCCCGCCAGTCCGTGGAGCGCGCACCGCCTCGCCGCCCTTCCTACCCTCTTCCGTGGGCCTCTCGTCTGCGCTTGTCTCCAGAGACTCCATTCTGCTAATCCTCTGGCGGTTTTCTGGGTTATTTAGGCAGGTGTAGGTGGAATCTAAGTGATCAGCAGGACGCGCGGTGAGCCCAGCGTCCTCCTACGCCGCCATCTTCCCCTCAGGATCCCTATTTTTAATTTTAAATAGTGTGTTCTGGGGTCTCTGCTTGGTTCTTTTTTTATCTCTTTGTTAAGGGTCTTACTGATGTCTTCCACTCTTCTTCTCAAGTCCGGTGGGTATCCTTATAATCATTATTTTTAATTCTCTATCAGGCATAATAGTTACACCTTTTTTACTTAGGTCTCTTGCTGTAATTTTGACCTGTTCTTTCATTTGGGACATATTCTTCTGTCTCCTCATTTTGCCTACCTCTGTGTGTCTGTTTCTGTGTTTTAGGAAACTCAGCTACAACTCTTCCTCTTGAAAGTAGTGGTGGGACACTGTTTTAACAAGGCTGTCTCTGTCACCTTCCACAAGGGGTTTGCAGCCCCTTCTGAGACTGTGCCAGCCAAGGCTGCTCAGGAGCTACCGTTTTAATGAGGTGCATTCATCCTCTGTGCGAGGTTGGGAGATGCAATTGACAAGGTTTGCACCAGTTTTCTGGGGAGGGGACCTGTAGTTTTAGGAATGAGGTAGACTCAGCTGGAGGGGGCAAAGCATGGTATAGGGAGGTTAGGTAGTGAATGCCAGTGCCTGGCTGGTTCCTGCAGGTGGCTGTGTGACTATACTGTGGGAGAGGGAGGGAAATATCACCTGCCAGCTCCTTTTTTTCCTGGAGAAGTCCATCAGTGAACTCTGAGATTACTAACTCTCCCTCCTACATGCCCCAGGTATTTTTGCAACTGCTGCTTCTAAGCTGTATATCTTCCCAGATGTTTCACTGTCTCTTTAAGACTGGGGACTCAGTTTCCTAATGCATGCCCTCCAGACTCTGCCAGAGTGGAACTACTGATTTTTGAAAGTTCTAGGGTTTAAGTCCTGATGGTTGTAAGAACTCATGAAATCCAGCCCCCCTGATTTTCATATTTTTTTTTAAAAAATTATTTATTGATTTTGAGAGAGATAGCACCAGCTGGAGAGGGGCAGAGAGAGAGGGCAACAGAGGATCTGAAGTGGCTCTGTGCTGACAGCAGGAACCGTATGTAGGGCTTGAACTCATGCACTGTGAGATCATGACCTGAGCTGAAGTCCGACACTCAAACCACTGAGCCATCTGGGTGCCCCAGGCTCCTCTGATTTTCAAGGCCAAATGCTACGGGAATTCAACTTCCCCATTCAGGCTCTCTGTGTTGACAGTCTGTTTCTTACCACTCTATGCACCCACAGATCCTTCCCTCCCATGGGTGGTCTGCTGTCCATTTAGGCCCTTACAGCATCTCTGCCCTTTCTACCCTCTTTGATGTACTAGCCTTTTGTCTACATTTAGTTGTGGATTTTTGCTTCTAGTCTTTGGGTCTTTGTCTGGGTTATTTGCACTGGTGTGTTATCTAGTTGTATCTGTGGGATGAGGTAAGTTTAGGGTCCTCCTACTCTGTCATCTTCCCAGGAAGCCCAACAGAGTCTTTCCTCTTGACATTTTAAGTTAAAAACATGTTTAAAAAAATAATTGCATCCATCAGAGCTCTCTGAGTTCTAATTTTTTTTTGTAGTTATTTTCTGTCTGTCCCTTTAGAGCTGCCTTAATGGAGATGCCTCCTTGGATTGTTCAGCTTGGTCTCCCTCTCTGAAGTTGCTTACTCCCATTAGATGGCTTATTATATTTCTATGCCTGTTTATGAATGTGAGTTTTTCAACACATAAATCATATGTAGAGAGCTCTTGAGCAGTAGCTAGAAGAGTTGTTTTGTCTTCATTATTACTGTTTCTATTTTTATAGATACTGTGTCCTCTTAGATTTCAATGAGAATAAAAATGTAGATTTAAAACATTTTTTAGGGGGCGCCTGGGTGGCGCAGTCGGTTAAGCATCCGACTTCAGCCAGGTCACGATCTCGCGGTCCGTGAGTTCGAGCCTCGTGTCAGGCTCTGGGCTGATAGCTCAGAGCCTGGAGCCTGTTTCCGATTCTGTGTCTCTCTCTCTCTCTGCCCCTCCCCTGTTCATGCTCTGTCTCTCTCTGTCCCAAAAATAAACGTTGAAAAAAAATTTTTTTAAACATTTTTTAGTTTCTAAAAATAATTTTTTCAGAAGAGAAACATTTGTTCTCTATTTTAAAATTTTTTTTTCAACATTTATTTATTTTTGGGACAGAGAGAGACAGAGCATGAACGGGCGAGGGGCAGAGAGAGAGGGAGACACAGAATCGGAAACAGGCTCCAGGCTCCGAGCCGTCAGCCCAGAGCCCGACGCGGGCTCGAACTCACGGACCGCGAGATCGTGACCTGGCTGAAGTCGGACGCTTAACCGACTGCGCCACCCAGGCGCCCCTTGTTCTCTATTTTAAAGATGGTTTTCTGTTTTCATTTGGAGATCATATTTTTCTGATGAGAGACAGTCATTCAAATAATCATTTCTCTGTGTGTAATTTGGCATTGTCTTTGTCTACTTTTAAGATTTTTCTCATTTTACTTGGTTTTCAGCATTTCACTCTGATGAAAATTTGGGAAAATTTCAGGTATTATTTCATTACTTTTTCTATCACTTTCTCTCTTTTCCTTATGGGAATAAAATTACATGTTATATTTTTGATAGTATCCCTTATGTTCCTCAGTCCCTCTTCATTTTAAAAATCTTTGTTCTCTTTGTCTTTAGATAGGTATTTTCTACTGATGTATCTTCAAATGGCCTGACTTTCCTCACTGTCTTATCCTATTTGCTCCTACCTAGGCTCATCAATTACATTTTTAAAAAATTCAGTTGCTGTATTTTTCTCTACTTTAATTTACATTGGATATTTTTATAGTTTGTATTAATCTACTAAGATTTTTATTATTTCATTCATTATGAACATATTTTCTCTTATTTTGGGTTTTGTAATAATAGTTGATTTAAAATTCTTCTACACTAACTTTAAAGTAGAATCTGTCTTGGGATCACTCTCTGTAGATTATTTTTATCTTTTGAGTAAGTCTCATTTTGCTGTTTCTTCAAATGTCAAGTAATTATAAATTATTGAATATTGGGAATATCATCTTTAAGCTCTGGATTCTACTATATTCTTCTAGTACGGTTAGTCCTACTTTTGTCTTGTTTTAATATATAAATAATGTTTTTGGATGCAAAACGAAAATTCTGTGTTTAGGAGGAGCTCAAATTGCATTCAGTTCTTTTAGCTTTTGATAGGCTTCTTAGAGTCTTCCCTATGCATATGTGATTTGGGCTTGAGTGAGATTTGGGCAGGGTTTATACAGAGTTTGGGGCTCCTTATCTCAATCAAGCTCTCTTCTTTGTATGACTTGCCCTAAGTTTTGCAGTGATTTCCTTCCTTTGGTTTATAAGGTCTAAAAAATTGTTTTCTATCAGCTATTAGGTGCCCTGTCTGGCTCATGTAGCGCTTGACTTCAGATTACAAGCCAGGAAATAAGAATTTTACCTAGGACTCTTTTCTTCTTCCAAGTGTTACCTTCTCTCAAGAATCTACTTATTTTTGGTTTCTCTTCAGTGTTCATATTTGTTTTTGTTTTGAGTTTGTAGTTTTTATGTGTGGCAGGGTCTGTTCACTAGCAACTTTCTCTGCTGTACCAGAAGCAGAACAGGGGATCTTAGATATGGTTCCTCAAACTGTCTCCCATCTCATGGAGAATTCTTGATACATTTCATGTGTAACAGAGTCCATTCATTCACACAAACTCAGAACTGTGTTTATTTTCTGTTAAGAGTAGAGTTGCTTTTTTTCATAAAATTTGAATGTTTATATTTAAATATATCAGGTCTAGAGAAGCAGAGATATGAAATATTTAGCTTATTGTAGTTATAATTTACCAGATTCAAGGTCATTTTTCCTATACAAAATCAATAGGAAGCTACAGCTGCAGAAATTATACACCATTATGCCACAGAAATATGTGAATAAATGTGTATGCTCAAATCATCATCTTGGCTATCTGTGGATTATAGACAGATGATAATTGTAACAATTAATTTATAGAAACAGAGCTACTGAAATGAATATATTTTTCCTTTATATTATATCACAGAAAGTAGCATTTGCTCTGGAAGTTGAGAACAAAGTCCTTCAGGAACAATTGAAACAGGCTTTACAGGTAAATGATATAGGTTCTTTTAAAATTGTTAACAAATGAAGGAAATATCTGTAAACAACTTCTAAATGAATGATTTTGACCTTGAAAATGAATAGGTTTATGTGTTGTACTTTTTTGCCAGGTTAAAGTATATTCATTTTATGTACTAGGATATATTAATAAAATTTAATACTCATTCTTATTAAAAATGGTAAACTAGATAGAAAGAAAAGTAAACTTGCTTAATCAAATAAATCTATTTCAAGCTGAGACACTGTTATATGTGAAATCCTGCAGGCATTCCAACTAAACTCAATTAAACTAGGATGCTGGTTTTTTACCACTCTTTGAAATTTGTGTTAAACGATCAAAGAAAGGAAAAAGCTACAAACATTTTCATAAGTGGATAGACAAAAGTATAATTATTTGTATATTAATTTTCCTTTGGAAAAATGCAAGATAATACACAAATTTATTAATGATATAATTCAAAAAGCTGGCTGAGGGCAAAATAGATATAAAAAAGCAATAGAAGAAGGCTGGGAAAATGGTGGAATAGGAGGACTGTAAGCATACTTCACTCCAGATACAGCTAGATAACACTTATATCAGCATAAATAATCCAGAAAACAATGTGAAGCCTGGCAGAACAAACTCCATGAGTAAAGGTAGAACAGAGGCCACATCGAAGAGGGTAAGAGTGAGGACATGTCCCCAGAAGGGAGGGATGCAATGGATGAAGAGAAGGAAGAGAAACAGATTGTCACACTGGGGAGTCCACATGGGAAAGATGAATTTTTATAACATTTGGTTTTGAAAACAAGAGGCTCCAAATTTCATGAGTTCTTACAAGTAGCAGGACTTATGGCCTAGAAATTTAAAAATTAGCGGGCTGGCTCTGGGAGAACCCAGAGGGCATTAGGAAGCTGAGTCCTGCCCTTAAAGAGACAGCACAACAAATAACCTGTAGAAAGAGCACAGTTTGAAAAATGCCTGGAGTACATGGGAAGGAGAGTTATTTACCCTCCAGCATAAACACAGAGCCACCTGCTGGAACCAGTATGGTGCCAACATTCACTATCTAACTTGCTTACACCAAGCCTCAACCCCTCACCCTTCACCAGACTCAACCTTCGTCATCACATTTACCTCAGTCCTGGTGCTGTGGGTCCCTTTCCCCAGAAGACTCATGCAACCATCACCAACACCTTGTCTCTTGGCCTGCTTGTTTTGTGGGGCATTGGTCCTGGCAGTGGTGGCAGGTCTGTGGAAGCCCAAGGTGTAACCTTGTTAAAATTGTGCACCCCACCCATACAGCACTGGTCCTGGCAATGCTGGCAGGTCTTATTTCACAAGCAGACTGCTGTGCATCTTGTAAAATGTGCTCCTCCATGGCCAGGGACCAAACACTGCCAACAGCAGGCAAAGGGAACCTCTGCAGATAACTGGAGTGAAGGAAAAAGTGGCTAGGACACAACAGGAAGGTATATACAACACACATAGGAGATACCCCCTGAGAACCAGTTTCTTGGGACAGGGGACACTACATTGGGGCACTACAGGACCTCTTCTTCATAAGGCCACTTTTCAGAGCAGGAGATGTAGCTGACTTTCCTAAAATACAGAAGCAGACACACAGAGTTAGGTGAAATGAGGAGACAGAGGAATATATCCCAAATGAAAGAATAGGACAAAAATCATAGCAGGAGACCTAAGTGAGACAGATATAAGTGTTATGCCTGATAGAGAACTTAAAGTAATGATTATAATGATACTCATTCGACTTGAGAAAAGAGTAGAAGACATGAGTGAGACTCTTAAGAAAGAGATAAAAAAGAACCAAGCAGAGACCCAAGAGCATGCTAATTGAAATTAAAAATACACATGGCGGGGTGCCTGAGTGGCTCAGTCAGTTAAGTGGCTGACTTTGGCCCAGGTCATGATCTCATGGTTTGTGGATTTGAGCCTCATGTTGGGCTCTGTGCGGATAGCTCAGAGCCTGGCGCCTGCTTTGGATTCTGTGTCTCCCCTTCTCTCTGTCCTTCCCTTGCTCCCTCCCTCCTTCTCTCTCTCTCTCTCAAAAATAAATAAACATTACAAAAAAAAAAAAAAGAAAAAAACCTCATGATGGACAAAATAGCAGACTAGAGGAAGCAGAGGAACAAATTAATGACCTGGAAGAGTCATGGAGTAATGGAAAGCAATCAAGCTGAGCAAGTTAAGAGAAAAAGAAATTATGCAAAATGAGAATAGAGTTAAGGAATTCAGTGACTTGATCAAGCATAATATTTTCAGTATGGGATCCAAGAAGAAGGAGAGACAAAAGGGGGCAGAAAATTTATTTGAAAAAATAATAGCTGAAAACTTCCCTAATCTGAGGAAGGAAATAGATATCTAGATTCTCCTGGATCTGGATTGAACACATGGTAATCAAAATGGCAAAAAGTAGTGATACAGAAACATTTTTTTAAAGCAGCAAGAGAGGAGACAGGGAGATCGTGGCAGAACAGGAGGACCCTAGACTCACTTTGTCTCAAAAATGTAGCTAGATAACTATGGAATCACTCTTAAATGCCCCAGAAATTGACCTGAAAACTGACAGAACAAACTCCACAACTAAAGATAGAAGCTACATCAAAGATAATAGAAAGTGCAAAAATGTGGTTTAGGGGAGAAACAGATCCTGACTGTAGTAGAAGGGAAGTAGCTGTGGTCATGAAGAAGGGTGAGGGAGAGAAGGATATGCAAGGAAATGCACAGAAGAATGTCTCCCCAAAGCCCAGTGGCTTGGAAAACAAGAGGGGCTGAATTTAATGAATTCTTACAATGAGCAGAGCTTAAAGCCTGGAGTTTTAAAAGTTAGCAGGCTTAGCTGGGATAGAGCCCAGAGGGCAGTGTACTGTTCCTGGAGAGAAGGCAGACAAACAAATTGGAGACATACAGTGTGGAACCAGTGATCTAAAGAGCACCTGGGGTACACAGTGGGAAGATTATTGCTCTTCTTAGAGCAATAATGAGAGGAAGCATTCATAGAGACACCTCTCTGTGGGACAAAGGAGCTAGCCATCATTTCTCTGACCTACCCCTTAGCATAAACACAGAGCTACCCATGGGAAGTAGTGCAGTGTGGACACTAGAAATCTAAATTTGCTTACCTTAAGCCCCATTCCCCTGTATTCCAGTGCAACTGCCCTTCCCAGTCACACTTACCTCAGTCCCATTACAGTTGGCCCCTCTCCCAGAAGACCAGCACAAATTCCTGCCCACATCACGTCTCTCAACCAAACAGGTTTCTCAGTTCCAGTGAGGTGGAGACAGTTCTCATTTCACAAGGAAACCAGAGCACACTTAATTAAAACTCACCACATTCAGGTCAAGGATCAAACACTGCCTGTAGCAAGCAAGGAGAGCCTCTGTAGATGACTTGCCTGAAGGATAGAGCAGCCAGAACAGAACAGCAGAGTGCGTGCAGCACACACCAGAGACCCTCCCTGAAGCATGAGGCCCTGGACACTACATGACCTCTTCTTCATAAAGCCAATACTTTCAAGAGCTGGAGACATAAGTGGCTTTTCTAGCACACAGAAGAAGGTAGAGACTTAGACCAAATGCAGAGATGGAGGAATTTATCCCAAACAAAAGAAGATAAGTCCATGGTTAGAGATCTAAGTGAAACAGATATAAGTAACATGCCTGATGGAGAATTTAAAGCAACAATGATAAAGATACTCACTGGGCTTGAGAAAAGAATGGAAGACATCAATCAGTGAGATCCTTACCACAGAAATAAGACAGTTGAAGTATCAATCAGAGGTGAAAAGTACAATAAGTGAGATTAGAAAGATACTTGATGCAATGAACAGCAGGCTGAAAGAAGCAGAAGAATGAATTAATGACCTAGAAGACAAAATAATAGAAAGCTATGAAGCTGAACAAAAGAGTGAAAGAATTATACAAAGTGATAATAGACTTAGGGAACTTACTGACTCCATCAAAGGTAATAATATTCATATTATAGGAGTCCCAGAAGAAGAGAGAGGAAGGGGGGCATTGCTAAATCTTCCCTAATCTAGGGAAGGAAACAGACATCCAGATCCAGGAGGCATAGGGAACTCCCATCAGAATCAACAAAAGCAGGCTTACCCCAAGACATATTGTAATTAAATTTGCAAAATATAGTGATAAAGAAAAATATCTTAAAAGTAGTGATAAGAAAGAAGTCATTAACCAACAAAGGAAAACCAACTAGGCTAATAGATTTTTCAACAGAAACTTGGCAGACCAGAAGGGAGTGGCATGATATATTCAAAGTGCTGAAGGGTAAAATATGCAGCCAAGAATACTCTATCTAGCAAGGCTATAATTCAGAATAGAAGGAGAAATAGAGTTTTCCAGGCAAGTAAAAACTAAAGGAGTGTGTGACCACTAAACCAGCTCTGCAAGAAGTATTAAAGGGGAGTTGTTGAGTGGAAAGGAGGGACCACAAGTGATAGTATAAAGACAGAAAACATAAAAAAGAGTAAAAATGAATATTTCTATAAGAAATCAGTCAAGTAATTCACAGAAAAAGAATCTAAAATATAACACATATACCTGAAATGTGGGGAGGAAAGGAGAAAAGAATGGGTTTGAAATTAAACATCAACTTAATATAGACTGCTATTTGCAGGAGAGGTTATATACAAACCTAAAGGTTACCACATATCAAAAAACACTAATAAACATGCAAAGAATAAAGAAAAGAAATCCAAATATACCACTAAAGAAAATCAGGAAACCATGAAAGAAAGACAAGAAAGAATCAGAGAAAAGTCTTCAGAAACAACTACAAAATAAGTAATAAAATTGCATAAATACATAGCCATCAATAATTACTTTGAATGTAAATGGACTAATTTGAATGTAAATGGATTAAGCACTCCAATCAAAGATATAGGATGTTAGAATGGGTATAAAAACAAGATGCATCTATATGCTGCCTACCAGAGACCCATTTAGACCTAAAGACACCTGCAGTTTGA